GTCGAAGCCAGGGATTTCTCTTAGTTTGGTTCTGCCTCCCTCTCCGAAACTGAAAACTGAATATTACCTTATCTGATTCTGAGGTTATTCCTCAATCTCTTGTCGTTTTCTTATCGTGTTTACAATAAAAGGTGGCGTGTTGGAAGACTTGACTCTGATGAGTCTTAATTTGTTATGCCTCCCTCTCTTAAATGCAAATTCAGTGAACTAAAGTTATGTTTCAGAATTCTCTATCTTCTACCTATGTTTATGATCCATTTTGTGGATTAACTTTTCAACATGTGTTTATTTGTTGGATCTTGAATCTGTGGTTTTCATTACTCTGATTGCCAAGTTTGATTTCTCTTCAAGTGTACACTACCTATTTAGTAGTGAGTTTCTCCGATTGTTGGTGTGGAATATTATTGTTTTGATATTGTTTCTTTATTATATTTTATTTTAAGAGAAAATATTTGGCATTTTGTTTTCCGCATAATCAAGCTTTTGTTTTCGGAAAACCATAGACATAGTGTGAAGCTAACAGCAAAAACGTCAGGAACATGATTTGCTTTGAGTCTTCTCCAAATTGGTTGAGCAGGCTTGGAGGGACTGATATTGGAAGTGTGAATAAATATAAAGAAGTAACATAGGTTGCAGATAATATATATATATATATATATCTACAAGAAAACAGCTGATTACCGACTAACGTCGGCTACTATGAAGGTGACTAAGATGGTAGTCGATCGGTAAACAGCTGTTTTCTTTTAGTTTGTGAAGACTGTAGGAGATGCTTGGGAACGTCGTAACTCTGATGATATACGGTTCTGTTTGCTTGTGATCATCAGCGCTTATATACGACCAGTTCCTGTATTGCAAAACTTGAGGTCCAAAGGTTTTTCGACGCTTACTTGTATGGTTAGAAACTGTGGACCTCAGATTTTGAACTGTCTTTTGGATCCGAATTGTCGGAAAGCTCTTCAGTGTTTGAACCAGTGTAGTCCTTTGGATCAGGTGTGTAGCTCCAGATGCATTGCTTCTTATGAGAGTCCTTACTTTGAAGCATTCTCTCTTTTTGTACTACAGAAACAAAACTATTTAGATTTGGATGCAAAGATCCCTGTGAAGCCTTATGTGCCTCCCATGACGAGTTTTCGAGGGAAGGAGTTGTGTCATGAGACAGCGGAAGACTTGTTTGTTGGCTGGTTAGGGGACTTGGATTGGAGCTGGCGTGTTGTGGCTGGACAAAACCCGGCTTATGATCAGTTTCCATGTCAGTACCAGCTTTTTTACAGAGGGAAAGGGAAGTCGTCGTTTTGGTATGAGCCCGTGTTTCAGGTCAGGACGCTAGAAGAGAAGTTGGTGTGGAGAAGGAGAAGATACTCGGTTAAGCGAGGAAAGATCCCTGCAACATTTCGTTTCAGTGTTTTGGACAATGGTGTGGTGTCAAATGAGTTTTGGACTATTGTGGATGTATCTGATGATCTAAGTTGGGGACTGTTCCATTACCATGGAGCAGCACGTGTAGCAGGACAGTCTTACACCGGAGCTGTGCTTGTGACACCGGATGGTTCTTACCCGGCAGAGAAGGACAAGGAGAGATTGCAGTCAGCATTGGAGAAATGTGGGATTAAGGAATGGGAACTCTTTGCTGTTGATAATTGTTCTTGTGAAAACCCGCCGCTAGGGATTCCACAGGGTTCTAGACTTCATTCGAGAATCAGTATCATAGAGGAACCAGACTCGGAAGAAAAATTCAACTAATTTTGCACTGTGGTAGTCACTGTTTTTCTGTAAATTCATGTTTGTTTAAGAATATCATTGAATCCAATATTGAGTTAAACCCTGAGGAGACGAAAGATAGGAAGAAATTCGCGTTAAAAATGCAAACGTTTTTTGAAATGTAGTACACGGTAATAACAACTTGGAGAAAAACAGTGGCACAGGCACTACTAGCATCAAACTTGGCACTCTGAAAAAGTAAACACAAATCAAGCAAAGAGGCATAACCTCAGATGAGGGAAGTAGTCTCCTTATTAGTTTACACATGGAGGGGGCGAAAACCAAACTCAGATGAATCACTGTCTTCGTCATCCTCTGTTGAAACAAAGACAAGAATAAAATGAGAAGAAGTTGATGCATAACTTCAGAATAACGGAAAAGTTGCGTTACCAAACTAAGACTCACTTTATAACACCTCCAAGAGATGACGCTCAAGGTACATAAGATATATGTCTCCATATTGATCCTCTTCTGTTGCAGCTTCACGGTCATCCTGTATGACACGGAAAAAAACATTTAAATGTTTTGAAAACCGAAAACAAAACGGAAAAAGTTAATGGTTAAAGTTCTGCAAGATGGTTGACTAAATTTTACCGTAGACATTATGCATTTGAGGTGAAACTCTTTGCCACAGTGCTTGCATGAATAAAGCACATTGGAGCTTTTTCCGGATTTACCCACAATACGCTCTCCACAGAGAAAGCAATCTGGCTCGAAATAACGACTACCTATTAGCTTCAAAGTATGCTCATGTTTTTGGTTCTTCACATTGTCTGGAAACGCAATACACTCTGCATGGGCGTTGAAGTCGCACCCAATACATCCGTAGAACGACACACCGCACGGTTTAGCGCACACACGGCAGGTTCGAGTGATCTTCGAGTCAGCAATCCAAAAGTGATAGAAACGGTGGTTGTGAGATGTCTGTAGTGGAAATATTACCGCTTTGCTGCATTTAATATGGAAACTGATGTTGCAAGTGGAACAATGATAGCCATACTTTTTAATTTCCAGCTTGCAGGCTAGGCACTTGGATCCACTTACAAATGAAAGCGGAAGGTAGTGATCAGGATGAATTGGATGACAGAATCTCATTTGCCTGTTAACTTCCAGACACAAGGGATGATATACATCTTTACACACCACACATGAAACAAGTGAGCTTTCATTGATCAGACGATACACAAATGTTGAAAGCCTAAGCGATGACATATGTATGGTCTTGTCTTTTCCACACACCACCTCTTCACATATATCGCAAGCCATGGAGTATGACTTTGAGACCATAATTTGATCCAACAAATGCTCTTTCTGAATGCATCCACTCATCGCTGTACAGCTTCCAATGATTTTTTGCCCCCTTTGTGACTCCGTAAATAAGTGTTTACCTCTAAATATGCAATTGGTATGGATGACAAAATTGCATATGCGACAAAAGAGATTGAACCCTTTTATATCATCTCTGCAAATGTCACAATTCATAGTAACATCTGTGCCTGCAGGGGCATCTGGTAAGAGTGTCAGAAAATGCTTATGAACTCGATGCTTCAATGGTCGCCCTAGCTCTGCGCAGAAACTATGCGCCTGGAAGCTGCACGTCTCGCATTTACATGGGCTACCGCGTATTTTTGTCCGACAGATGTTGCACTTTGCTTTTTCATCAAGCTCACGGAAATCAACGAATCGCATCACATGTATATGCCCCTTCATAGTATTGACCTGGATTAATCAAGGGAAGGGCAGTCACAACCAATATATGAATGAAAAGAGTTAACAATTTTTGATTTTTTCACTAGTCTATCAGTTGTAATGAAAATCTATACCATAAGTTCGGCTTTTGGCTCATTGGTATCATGGTCCAGTTGATATGTTGAACTAGTGTTGTCTTTGCTGCAAGGGTAAAGATCTTTCAAGTATAGTGGGGAAGGGGCAGCCTGTAGATTATATAATAAAGAATAAATCGTCATCGTTTCACCACCAACATCATTAATAAGAAAACAGTAATTGTAATGAAATGTTAATTACCTTGCGTAGAATGCATTCAATGTGGCCTAGAAAATTACATTCGTCACAGGAATAAGCATGATGTCCTGCATACACCATTGTCTCGCAAACGCCACAATACTCCAAAAATTCATCCTCATATGGGAGAAATTTGCACACAAGTGGATGAATGTGATGAGACTTCTCGACCACAAACTCAGGTATCTCAAGACACTCGAAATGGAAAACCATAGAGCATTGTATGCAGTAAAAAAAAGAGTCAAGAGATATCACAATACTTCTCCTGCATATTTGACATTGATCATTCTCTGTGAAACTTATGTGAGATTTAGTTCTATAAATCAACCTGTGCGGATGAGACTTGTGCATCAGCCCTCGCAAAAAGGAATCTAAACACCTCAAGTGAGCGTCAAAATCGCATTCTAGGCAACCAAATGGGACACCAGCGATACTTTCCCCGCATATATGACAGAGACTAGTTCGTGTGTAATCAAGCCGTTTGAGAGGGTGTGCAGGATGCACAGGATGTGCAATCTCTCTCGGAAAATCAATACAGCGTTCGTGAACAAATGAGTAACAATGAACGCAACCATAACATATTGAAGAGGGAGAGAGGGGAAGCTCACAGAGAAGGCAAGAACCTCTAGCGTCTGGTCCGGGTCTACACCTCTTAAGCAAGTGGCAATGGCTGTAATGGAGCAAGTCTTTGCTATCCCAGCCCCTGAAGATGCTCGCAATGAGCGCACAGCCCATGTCCAAGTATATCTCACACTCTTTACACTTATAGAAAGAGCAAGAAGTCATGTTGCCACACCCGGAGCATACGACGTGTTCAGGTTTCTGATCGTACTGGTGCAGAAAAAATTCCAGAGGATGATCCGGATGAAAATCGTGCCAGACCTTCTGTGGAAGTTGAGAGCAACCTTTACAGAGACTGAAATCGCAAGGGCTACATGCCAACTCGACAAGATCATCTTTGTAGCAAATGCTGCAAATCCCGTCGACGGCGATCTTGGGTGAAGTCAATGGGCATTCATGGGAGAAATGCTTGAGCTCTGCCATCGAAGTCAACGAGAGATGAGATCCAAAGTTTTTTTTTTTAGATTTAAGATAGTGGGAGGAGTGCACGAAACAAGTCGTTCTGTTTTATATAATAAATCGTATACAATGTTTAACGGGCTTACATATAAATCTACGAGATTTCACTAAGCCCACGTAGGTGCGTTGAAATGGGTAACCCAACTCAACTCAATTCATAATCAAATGAGTTATGGGTTGACCCAACTCATTTTGTTAAAAGGGTTGGGTCAATCCATAACTCATTTCATTTGATGAGTTGAGTTGTTAAATAGATTATCCTATTTACGTAATAATTTAATTAATTATTATTATAAAACAATAATAAATAATAATTATTATTAATAATTATTAATTTATTATCATCAAATTTAGGATATTTTCGGATTCCACTTTTTACGGAGTTTACGTTTTTGGCGGGAAAATCATAGATTTATGTTTTTGGCAGAAAAATTACAGATTTACGTTTTTGTCGGGAAAATCACGAGTTTACTTTTTTGGCGGGAAAATTACGGGTTTACGTTTTTAGCAGGAAAATCACGGGTTTAAGTGTTTTGGCCGGTAAATTACGGGTTTACGTTTTTGGCGGGAAAATTACGGGTTTACGTTTTTTGCGAGAAAATCACAGGTTTATGTTTTTTGCGAGAAAATTAGGGGTTTACGTTTTTGGCGGGAAAATCACGGGTTTACTTTTTTGCGGGAAAATTAGGGGTTTACGTTTTTTGGCGGGAAAATTACGGGTTTACATTTTTGGCGGGAAAATCACGAGTTTTTCGTTTTTGGCGGGAAAATCACGGGTTTACTTTTTTGGCGGAAAAATTACGGGTTTATGTTTTTTGGTGGAAAATTACGAGTTTACTTCTTCTCAATTTCATAACTTGTATATTTAAGAAATTTGGAAAAATATTGATTTTATTATATTGGTTTAGATGTGTTGGTTAAACTTAAATTGGCATTGGTTTAGAGATTTTAGTTGGTTTAATTCAATTTTACAAAATTTGATGGGTTAATTGGATAAACCATTGAAACCATTAACCATTACAACTTAACTCATTTTATTCATCAAACCAATTGACTCAAGAACTCATTTGATCCATCAACTCATTTGAGTCAATATTTTCAACTCATTAGGGTTCATGTATTGAGTTGAGTTGAGTTGACCCATGAATTTTGACCTATATTGACACCCCTACACAGAGAAGAGTTTAAATATGGGAATTTCGTAATCTACAATGAAAAATATCCTATGCTATTATTCGGGATACACATACTGTAAGTTGCAAATACGTTAATATATCATTAAAAAATGTAATCATAAAATTCAATCATATTTAGTATTAGACACAATATATTTAATATATAAATTTTAATATAAAAGATTAGAGTAACGTTTATTAAAGATATGTAAATGAAGCAAATTCATTTGATGTGTTAATTAGCCATTGATTATAGTATTTTATTATGATTTAATTCGCGGTATACCGCATGACAATATTTTTATTTTATAGATTTTAGATAATAATTTATAATTTATTAGATTTTTAAATTCATAATATAAAAAATATTTCTCATTTAATTATATTATATTAGAATTAATATAGTTGAAATGCAAAAAGATTGTTTCCAAGTTTTTGTATTTGTTACATAAATGTGTTAATTGTATTGATGTACTTAGAAGATTTGTAGGTGTAGAAGTGATATAGTGTTAATATTGGTAAATATTTATAATCATGGACTATAATAATAATTTGATATTATTTTCTATCTAAGAAATTACTCCACGGTACATTGATGATCGATTTTTTAAAATGAAAAACCTTAAATTTGAAATTGTATTTGTTTTGTTAGTATTATTTGGTTTGTTTAGTGCTTAAGATTATATCATTTTATTTTTTGTTTAAAATTTAGGATTTCACTTATGGTATACCATCTCATATTAGTATCAATCCAAACCTGTTCCACCATATAACTCCGTCCCGTAAAATTAAACCGTATTTTGTTATTTTTTGTTTAATAATATTTTTAATTAAAAACATATTTAAAGTTTCAATTTTTGTGGAATGCATTCGGTCTCAAATTAAACATCATTTTATGGAGTGCATTCAGTCTAAAAAATTTACAATGTCGTGAAAGCGTTGATAACTTCCTAACCAAATATAGATAACACATGTAGCATAGTAACGTGAGAGTGGTGTCCACGTTTTTGTTGTAATTGGGCTTATTTAATAACGAAAGTAGTGAACTAGAGGTAGAAGTTTGAAATATGTAGGGAATTTTGCAAAATCTGCTATATTATGGGTCCAATCTTACAATTCCTACCATATTCTACTTCAGTTTACAAAATCTACCACATTTTACTTCACTTGGTAATTCGTGGACAAAAATGCCCTTAAAAGTGGTTCAGGGACTGACTTAGATGGTGACAGCTTTTGTCTGATGTGATGATACATGACAAAAAATCATGGTGAAAACATAAAGGATTATGAGAGAGAATAGTGGGGAACAGCTGGCTTCTACTGCTATTGAGTATTTAAAATTGACTTGTTTAAAAATATTAGTTATCCAAAATTCTGCGGGGGACAACGTAATATATAATACATTAGGAGACATGATTACCTGCTAGCGGGGTACAACGTAATATATAATGCATTAGGGGACATGATTACCTGTTAGCGGAGAAATTCCGCGGAAGACAACGTAATATATAATACATTAGGAGATGTGATTACCTGCTAGCGGGGGACAACGTAATATATAATGCATTAGGGGACATAATTACCTGTTAGCGGAGAACAGCTGGTGACAGACTTTTGTTTTAGTCTCCAGATCTTGTCCCCGAATAGAAATCTGTTGCATCTACGTTTTGTTTTTGATTTCATCATTTTGCTCTAATATTATGAATCCTACATCTTATATGCAATTGTTCTCATTTAAGAATTTTGAATTTTATTTAGATTTTTTGTCATCTATTTTGGTCCACAGATTAGTTGAACGTTATTGTCTTCACCTACACGTTTACATATTTTAATAATATGTTATATCGGGGACAAGTTCATATCGAATGAGTAATATAATTAGATCGAGAACAAATTCAGATCGAATAATAGACAAGATAATATGTAATAACTGGATGTTTTTGTTATTTTGCAATAGAAGAAAAAAAAAATCGTGTCGGTGAAAACAATAATGCTCAACTAATCTGTGGACCAAAATAAATGGTGAAAATCTAAATCAAATTCCAAACCTTAAATGAGAACAATTGGTGGATAAAATGTGGGATTCATGATAGTATTGAAAGATGGTGAAATCGGAGACAAGATCTAGACATAACAGAGAATTTATGATGAATAAAAATTAGGGGACAAAATCAATTAAAAGTTATATGTAAAGAATATGTGCACGTTGTAAGGAGAAGTGAGAGAGACAAAAACGTTTCATTTTGTCTTCGGAAAGATAGTTATGTGTGGTTAAAGCGCACATATCTCGAGAAAGGAGAGATAAAATAGAGAAGAAATTGTGAGGGCAATATAGACATTTTAAGTGGAAATGTGGTATGATGTGTAAGGGAGGAAAAATTATGGTAGATTGCATAAGAAATTGAGAAAATATGGTAAATTTTATAATTTTTCCGAATATTTATAGTTTTTAGTTTGTTGGGCATTGAAGATATATAATTAGCCCATTTTAATTGTGTATTTAATGTAGACACAAATTATTTAATGCCAAGAAAATTGTAATAAATACATAAGTCAATAATTTTATGGTCAAAATGTTTTCAAAAATCTATATATACATTTTTACAACACTTTTATGAAATAAATCTTCAAATTGGAACTTATTTACAAGGAATACCATTGACATTAGTTATTATCAATTAATTAATCTTTCTAATTACTAGTCTTTCCGTATCTAATATATTTTCATCAATTCTAATTACTTCAAAAAAAAAAAAAATCTTAGGATATTATTAATATTATACTTTATTAAAAAATAAATATTATAATTATTTAAAGTTTATTAAACGTTTAGAATATTTAAATATGTGAAATCTTTAAAAATTAAATAAGAAAAATTTAAATTAATTTGAATTATAATTTTTTAATAAAAGTATTATTATTAAAAAAATGTTTAATTTCACCGAACGGGATTAGATGGTAGGACGGGTTTATAATATTATAATATATAAACTTTACAACAATTAAATAATCATTTGAAGAAAGAAAACTTTTAAATTGATTTGAATTATATATCTTTTAAACTAAAATATTATTAAAACAAAAATAACAAAATAATGTTTAATTTTTCTGAACGGGGTTAGATGGTATGACGGGTTTGGGTCGATAGTAATACAAGACGGTAAATCACGGGTGAAATGCATTAGATATGTTTAATTCCACTGAACGGGATTAGATGGTATGACGGGTTTGGATCGATAGTAATACGAGACAGTATACTACGGATGAAATCTTAGATATAACAATTAAAATATAATTAAATTATTTTAAACACTAAACAAAACAAACAATATTAATTAAATAAATATAATTTAAATTTAAATTATATAGTTATAAACTAGATTTTGACTTAATGAACTGTATGTATTGTTTCTATAGTTTTAAAAAGTAAAAATCAAACATAGTAATTGTATACTAAAAATCTATAGATATAAGAGTTGTACATTTAGAAAATACAAAAAAAATTGAATTATATATATTTTTAATCTACTAAACATATTAAATTTTTATTTTTTAAAAAACAATTATAGCCCCTTGGTGTACCATAGATTATAATCGAGTATATATATATATATATATATTTATATAGATATTAACACAATTCCTTTAAACAATAACAAAAAGAGGTTAAGGAGGAAAACTAGATTAACATAGAAAACATTTATTACCTGAAACTAGTAAGAAGAAAGAAAGTAATATCAATTGGCTAAAAAAATTAGTAGAGGATATGGGGCACAATGAACAAATTTATTTCATGTCTACGACAAATTTTATGTTTGTTTTTAATAAAAAACAAAAATTGCGGTATATTACGGGTTAAAATCTAATTTGCGTTTAAAACTTAAGTAAACTCGATATTCAAACCCATAATTGACCCGACCCGAACTCCCAAAAGTGAAGTTCGAATCACAACATACAAATAATTGGAAAACGTTTTTAAATCAAAGCGGAGAAGTAAATAAAATTCTGAACGTTTTCTTGGTTGACTTTCTTGCTCTCTCGATGGGAAAGCTCCAACATGGATCTCATGAGTGCGAGTTGACCT